TATTTTTAAGTGGGGAAATTCAGGCAATTCTATGCAGTCTATATGTTTAGTCAAATTGTACAATAATGTGTTTAGCATTTGGGTGCGAACTGATAAAGAAAAAAGTTCATGGCATCAGGTTTTTGAGATGCACGTACAAGACATGGGATTGGAGGGATCTGATCTAGCGGTGGCCGGTTTTACGATTTTGAACGGAAAAGTTCTGCTCATTGCAACAAATTCAATGGTTTATCAGTACAATTTGTCAAGTGAGAACAGTGGAAAAGTCGAGAAAATTTGTGGGCATGCATGCGGGAAAGATGTGTTTTTCCATTCCTTTTCGAGTTCACTTCGTTCATGTGGAGATGGTGCAACAAAATTTGCTGCATGTTAGAGCTTAGTTTTCTTTGATTAGGTTTAGTTTTCAGTATTTATTTTTGTGCGTGATGCATTGTGACTTCTAATTTTTACGTTCCTTTTAATTACTTATTCTCAGCCTCATTAAATCTTATCTCGTTTTCTTAATGAAGTTTAAATAGAGATCAAGTTCAACTAGACTTCTGCCACATAAATCAAGATTTAATGAGGCTTTCACTGCAGATAGTATTTAGTTTTCATCTAATCACTCTCTTTGGATATATGCTCAAAGTATTAAAACTTAAATATTTTCGATTATTAATGAATAAACAATAGGTTTTTATTTATTTCGATTGGTAGATTGCTGGAATGTATTGTGATGAAATTGTTTGATTTTCAATCTATTGTGAAATTTGAATAATAGAACCGAATAATAATTAAAAAAAAAAAAAAAGTCAGCATGATATCATCCAAGAATATTACCACAAGATTTCAGACCACATATGTAGACTGATTGCCACGTGGGAATTAAATAACTTCACGTTTTGTTCGACTTAAAAATTTATAATTTTTATATTGATTTCCTATTTTGTTCTTTCTATAATTAATAAAATATATTAGTATATTCTCTATTTTTTTTGAATAGAATTGTCGAATAAATTTACACGGGCAGGATTTCATATGTAATGAATTTGAACAGATGTTAAGTTTGTTTGGGAGAGATTTTAATCAAATAAAAATTAAAAATATAGTAGTTATTGTGTCTCACTCGTCTAATAAAAGTTAACAATAACGACTAGTTTTTCAATTTTAATCCGATTTTAATCAAACAACCTCTTAATTCCCCGAAGACTCATTAAGCAGTCCAATTTTTACCTAGTCCATGGTCTAGTTTTATGCATCCACTATTACAGCCAAGGGGAAAAAAAGAGTATTTGTGACCAAATTTTTTTTGGAATTTTACAATTTTCATCCCCTACTTTTGCAAGATATAACAAATTTATCCTCGATCTTTCTCTTTAGCATTCCATCCCAATCTTTCAATTATGTAGTAAAACTCGGTATTCCCTCCGTTTGGACCATTAAATGACGAATTTGTCATTATCTTTAAATAAAAATAAATTTAAAAAATAGTAAAACAATTAAAATAAGGAAAAATTACAAATTATGTCACACAACTAATTAAAAAGGACAAATAAAACTCACTTAAAACAATCAAATATATATTAACACACAAAAAGAATTCAAAAAATTTCATCTTCTCCAATCGAGCTCGCCCACCAACACCCGCGCCACCCCACGCATCCTAACCCACCCTCACCTACGGCCAAATATGAGCATAATATAGTACAAAATGGACATCTTTTTTCTTGAATACAATAATGAATTGACTTTTTTTTTTTAAATTTTACGGGGCTTGTAATTTAATTAAATTAGCCGTGACAACGCAAGGAAATGATTTATTTAATGTAATAATTAGAACAATAATTAAGCTATATTCAAAACATTTGAATAATAAGAATCAGCCGCCTGCGGGTTGTTTCTAACCGTGGGTAGGGGTTCATTTGGGTACGTGAATTTGTTTGAGAAAGATGAAACCCAATTAATTTTTTTTTTTTATGATTTAATATGTATTTAATTTTTTTACTTGTGAATTATTTGTAATTTTGAAAAGTCGNAATATGTATTTAATTTTTTTACTTGTGAATTATTTGTATTTTTGAAAAGTCACGGAACTCAATTTACGACTTTTTCCCTATTTTTGTTGTTTCACTACTTTCTTTATTTATGATTATTTTAAAGAGAAGGACAAATCCTTCGTTTAATGGTCAATGCGAAGGGAATGGCGATTTTTGTTACATAATTGAAATATTGAGGGATTAATTATGCTAAAAAGAGGTTGAAGATAGATTTCTTACATTTCCCAAAAGTTGATGATGAAAAATGCAAATATTCTAGTTTTATTTAACATTATAGCACGTCAATTGACACGAACACTTTCAAAAAAATGAATAAAAAAAGTCCACTCCACTTCAATTGATATCTAACGTTATTCCACTTGAATTCTTCAATCACTATATGCTATATAATCGTAAATTAATTAAGCTCCCGTTTGGTCCTTATTATTTGAAATGTTAATGGTTGAAATAGTGTTTTTTTTTTTGAAAAATGTGTGGTTAATAAAAAAAAATATTAAATAAATTATAATTTTAATGGAGCCAAACATGGGCTAAATAGGAGACGAGATAAATCTAAAAAGTTCATATTTCTATCTTACAATTTTATTTGCGATATGCAAAGCATATTTTTAATCATAATAGATAGATAACATTCAAATTAACAATTTTGTTTGTCGTCTAAGAGCATCTTCAAGAGATTCTTTAAATATGAGATACTCTCTATTTTAAAGAGTTAACATTTAAAATTATGTTTCAAGAGACTCTTTAAATTAACATTTTAATTTAGAGAATGAGTTTGGAGAGTCAAACTCGCTCTTTATAATTAAATGCATTTAAAGAGTTTCAATTTTTAATGTAGGAAAATAATAAAATAATCTAAAAAAAAACTAGTTAAAATAAAAAATAAAGAAAAATAATAAATATTTTTTGGGAATAGTAAAATCAAATGCTAAATATAAAGAGTTTGTTGAAATACTTCAAAATTTTAACTCTCTAAATTTATAGACGCTTTAGCTATGTCAACGAGTTGAGCCGAAAAAAAAAATTTGAGCTCGACTCGAGCTTTTTTAGGCCAAGTTTTTTTAGGCTCGAGCCAAGTTGAGCAAAACCCGACCAAAAAAAAATGAGGCTTAGCCCGAGCTTTAGCGGGCCGGGCCAAGCCCGAACCGTGCCGTTCAGTTTTTTTTTTAATGTCAAATCTACATTTTTACTTACAAAATTTAAAATTTGTATGGTTTATACGTATTATAAATTAAATAAAAAAGTTCGGGCTCGGCTCGAGTTTTTTGGGGCCGAGCCGAGCACAGTCCCGCCAAAAAAATGGGGCTCGGTTGAGCAAAGCCAGGCTCGAGCTTTTTTATAGCTGAGCCCGAGCCGCCCAAGCCAACGAGCTTTTTTGCCATCCCTAGAAGCTCTCCAAATGATAGAATATACTCTCAAAAAATATAGAGCCTCTTGAAGATGCTCTAAGTAGGGACTAACCTTGTTAGTTGAATTTTTTGAGATGGATAGACTAACATATCTGAAATATAACATAGCGTACAAGTTAACTGTCTAATCAATAGTTGAGTTCATGAGTAACTCGTTGTGTTAAGGAGTCTTAAGTAATTCAACTCCTTAATTTTCTAAACCAACTCTTCAGATAAGTACTAGTGAGACGCACATGTAAGACACGCGCCATAGTATAGTTAACTATGTAATAGCGTATTATGAATAACCAAAAAAAAATAATAATAATAACTAACATGAAATAATCAATTTTATAGCAATCACAACGAGATTATCTCTGTCTTAATATTATAGTCACAATTAGAACACTTGTGATAGTGTCAGTTTTTGTGAACACTACATAATATGAATTGTGGAGATTATGGGTGTGTTTGAGCCACATTATTTGGGAGAATGTATTTTGAAATAGTAGATTGATGGAGAATGTGTTGTTGAAAAAGAATGAAAAGTTATTGATTCGATGGAAAATATTATTTTATTGAAGAATATGTGGTTGAAAATGAGTAGAAGAATGAAAATGAAAATTTTAATGTATACCAAACAGTGTGGCACAATGATGTTTACACTGCTAACCGGATGATTAGTTGGATGTTTGACCGAGTGTTTGATGACTTGTTGATTGCTGCCTTATTTCTTGTAAAAGAGTTCTTTATGTAATGCAATTTCTTTAATGGGTACTAACGATATCTGATGTCGCCAATTGTCAACTTCAATACCGTTGGATGGTTGATCTTCTGGCGACTTCTAATGCACCGTTCATTTGTCTAAGGTTTGAGGAATTCAGTCATTCATTTCTTTGTCTCTCTCTGTGCGACTCTTGTGATTCTCTTTTCTCTTTCCCTCACTAAAAAAGTATAGAAGGCTTTCTTTGATCTATTAGATAATATCATCTGTATATAAAACCTTGAGTGATGAGTTCTTGAGTGAACATTTGAATAGATCAAAAGGCATGTTGGTGTAATTTTGAGTGATTTGTATTGGGGACTAATAATATTGCAAATTGAAGATTTAAAGACAAAAATGTGAAGAAAAAAAATGTTAGGATCAAGTTGCTATAAAATTATAGTTTGAAAATCAACGGTACAATTTCAAGTAAAAATCTAAAATCTAATTAAAACTTTGTTTGACAACCATTATTTCAAAACTCTTTTTAATTCTTATTTATTTTCAACCATACATTTACACAATAAAATATTTTGCACATAAACTCAAAATTTTTCTACTACTTTTTAATTATACATCCTTAAAAAATCACTATTCAAAGCTCGATTTTCTTAGAATAATGGCCATCAAACTTTTGGACAAAATGTGGAAAATTGAATTGTATTTAATTATGGGAACAATACATAACTAAGATATTTAGTTTTACCAATTTCAAATTTAAGAACTTAAGTTTAAAATTTCAAATTTCAAATATTTTCAAATTTTATTTATAAATTAATTAATTAAACATATATTTTATTAATTAAATATATTAGAGTCACAATTCCATATAATTTGGTCACAAATTCTATATAATTGGTCACATATTATTAATTTGTCACAAATTACAAAATTTACATGTCACAAATTATTTTATGGTCATGATTCAAAAATTTTATAGGTCACAATTCAGAAATTTTATAAGTCACAATTTGTTTATCAGTCACAAATAAAAAATTTATGCGTCACAACTTATTCATCGGTCACAAATCACAAACATTATAAGTCACAACTTAATAGACAGTCACAAATGTCAAATTATCAGTCACAAATTAACAATTTTTTAGGTCACAAATTATTTTTTTGTCACAATTTATATTTTTCATTGGTCACATATTGTTTATCGATCACAAATTAATGAATTTAA